GAGTCGATTGAACTTGAAATATTAAGAAGAAACAACTCGGCAAAAACGCGTGAGGGTCACACGCATCGAATCTCCACCTCAGCGCACACCAACGTAGAAGCCGACTCACCTCTCGCGTCTGTTCTTACCTCAGAACCATTGCCCGAAAAAATAAAGGTTCCTCAAATTGGTCTATATGACGAGACCTCGGATCCTGACGCCCACCTCGGGCAATATACATCTTGGATGGAGTTGCACGGCGTGTCGGATGCATTGCGATGCCGTATGTTTTCATTACACTGGGGCCTCGCGCTAAAAAAATGGTATCATTCCTTACCTCATCGTTCCATCTGGAATTGACAACAGTTAAGATCGGCATTTCGGTCTCATTTCATTGGAGCACAAGTTTGCCTTGTTCTCAAAGAGTCAATCACTAACATAGTGCAAAAAGAAGACGAAAGTGTCAAAGACTATTATTGTGCAGTTCAATGATCGGGTTCAAATATGGAGCCTTGTCATCTCGAGACGCTTCTTGTTACTACAATTGCTGGCCTTAGACCAAATTCACTTTTTCGATGGACACTCTGTCAAAATAAACCAAGTAACTTCCAAGAACTTTTGGCTCGTGCGCAACAACATATAATAGCTGAGGAATCAATGTCAGTTCCGAATTTCAACTTTATCTCTAAAGAAACGACATCGGAAGTAGATGCCAAAAAGAAAAATAACAAAAAAATTATGAGTGGAAAGTTTAGAAAGCCTCAGTTCGGGAGATCTCCGAAAGGAGACCTAAATGATCCTGAAGTGCGGATGGCATAAAGACTATACGTTGCAGACTTGAAATTAGGGTATCAAACCATTTATTCAGTTGTAGCAGCATCTATCTTTGAAAAGTTGAAAGGAAAATGGGTCATTCCTGATCCTCGGCCGATTAAAACTCCTAAAGATCAGTTGGATAAATCAAATATTGTGCTTACCATAAATCTCCGAGCCACAACACTGACGAATGTTTGAGCCTGCTATCAGTCTTGCTAAGGCTGATCGGGAATCCACAAGTTAGAAGATTTGCTAAAAATCCCGACTTCAAACGTAAGGGAAGACCAACCGATATCCCCGACGATGATAAAGATGATGATGAAGTATATCCAAAAACATTTCAACCCGACAACAAAAAAGTTTTTACCCTTACCTCGAAAGATTTCATGGATTAACCTGTTAAAAGAACTCGTTATAGCGCCCTGTTCGATTTATAGAATTTCTCGGTGATGGGTCTACTTTTGGATCTGAAGTGAACCGGTGGTAATGAGCTCCGATCTGTTTGAACCGTCCCCAAAATCATCCTTAGATTGCCGCAAACACCTGCAAGAACTCAACGCCAGAAGTGTTTCCGACGTAGAGCCTTCGATGCTCAAGTCAATATATGGAAGAGAGGAAGAGAGAAGCTGCTCTAAGAGCGCAACAACAGAAGAGTATGGAGTGAGTAATGAGAGTGAAGTTAGGGTTTGGGGTTACCTCAGCCCCTTTATATAGAAAGAGATACCTAATTGAGATACCCAAAATGCCCTGGCCGACTTACGTGAAGTGTCCAAAATGCCCTGGTCGGTTCGTATTCCCTCCACCTCTTAGTCAGCATCCAGGTTCCTTCTCATTCTCTAGAGATTTCCTTGTGCTATGCTGAAGTGTTATGAGACGTCGAAGATTTTGGAATATAAAGAGTCGACTTTGAGTAACCACAGAGTCGACGTAGAACACATATGGATGCTTAGAGACTACACTACACCCACTCGTCTTTTTCCTTGATAGTCGACTTTCTGGAGTCGACTTACGGGAGTCGTCTTGTAGCCGTCAGCTCATTAAATGAGATAAGCGGTATATGAGAGATAGTCGACTTGTGGAAAGTCGACTCACAAAGCTGACTTGTGGCTATAGACTCACAGATTCAATATCTGGTCGAGCAGTTAGCACTTGAGTCGATATTAGATAATATGGCTATATTATCTAGTCCTCCCCAAAATTATTCCAAGCGATTCAGAGCTTAAGAGTGAATTTGGTAGTTAAGCCTCCTTCGAGTCTTGCTGCTCGACTCTTTCACGATATTATGTTATTTGACCAGCGTCGGTCATGCCTGTGAATTGTGATTTCATCCACTATTATTTTTGTTCTTCCTTGATAACTCGTCTCGCCTCCATTTCTAACTCGTCATGCTGGTAGCTCATCTTGTTTAATCAGGACACGTGTAATCTAGTCCTGCACTTAGAAATTCCCGGGCATATCCGATATCCACTGTCATCATTTTGAATTTCGTAATTCGGATAATGATGTGCCGCTTTACTTTTAGCCTCTTCGTATTTCGTACCTCTTTTGAGCCGTTAGATCTTACTTTGATCTAAGGGTTAGGGTTTTGGGACCAACCTTATAAATATATCTTCCTTTCTCATTCCACCACTTTTTCGCACTATGAGTTCTCAATTTCTCTGAATTTCCCGTCCATTATAACTCTCATCGGCTCATCGATACTCATATTCCCCGGTGGTTTACTCGAAGTTCTCCAAGAATTCTTCCACTCCAGTCAATATGAGTAAGTTTTTTTAACTTTGCTAGTAACGTTTAAGTTTTTCGTCAGTTTTTATGGGTTTTGCACTTGAATTTTATGAATGTTCTCCGCGTTTTCTGGAGTCTTCAAGTCATTTCCGGTGATTTTCAGTGCTAGATCTTCAACCTATGAACCGAGCGTTATTTACATGTTTGCTCGCTAGTAGACTTAGGATATAAAGTCAATTTGATGCTTCCCCATGGGTCGACTCTTGTCGACTTGACGACTCCATCCTAGAAAGTCGATTTTGATTCAGGGTGTTCATGTCTTCCAATTTTCTTTTGTGTTCACTCGAGCCGGGTTAGAAACTTCACAGTTCGTTTTTCAACTATTTCTCTTAAGGTCGGCTTGTAGATGCACACGTCCTCGCATCGACGCATTGTCATTCTGCGATCCTACTGTGTAGTTTGTGCTTCGTGTGCTGATCATCGTTCTTTTCAACTTTTTCACTAGATTCTGACTCCGACCTCGTTTCTAGTTCCCTCGCTCGTCAGATCGATGAATATTCGAGTTCTGATTCTGTTTAAATAATTGGCTCTATGCCAGCGGTCGAGCCAGAGGATTCTCCTAACTCTTCATTTCTTCTTTTGGGATCAATTTGGATGAATATAATCAGGTGTTGCTGTCGGGTACCCTTAATAAAAAGTCTGATTCTTCACGAGCCGAGTCTTCTCGACTTGACTGCATTCCTCGAGGTATTCTTCTTAAGTTTTTAGACATACTTGCATATAGAACAAGTCTTATACCTTCTCCAATAATTGCTCTCTTTGTCGAGCCAAAAAATGTTGTACCATTTGCCTGCCCGTTGGCCAAGTTAGCAGTACTTAACCCTTTTTCTTATGCCCCTGCAGCCAAAGTGGAGGGCTTCAGCGCTTTAAGCGGGCTTCCCTCTGATTGGGAGTTGGTCGCCCCTAGCCCCAACGACGATTTCAAGCATCCTCCCTCTGGGTGCTTCACCTTTTTCGTTGATCAGATTATGTTCGGCTTGCGATTTCCCATTCAACAAGAGCTCCTGTCGATAGCAACTTATTCAGTGTACCAATAAACCAGTTTTCTCCCAACTCTATCCGCATCATGGTGGCTTTCATCATCATTTCGAAAATAAAGCTTCGTTGCTTCTCGCTCGAGTTTTTTTTTTATTGTTATAGTTTTAGGTTCATAAAGGACGCCCATTGCTTGGGTCGTCGTCCTGGTGTAACATTTCTCTAGGATCTTTCCTCTAACGTCACCGAATGGAAAACCAAGTTTGTATACATTCGCCCCGCTCCTGGAAAATTTCCCTATACCAATGTTTGGATAACCAATAAAGTTAAGCAGAATAAGAAACCCCGATCGACCCAATTTGCTGCTATGTTGGACGACCTGATAAGCACACTTGGAGTGTTCGTCGTATCATTAGGGATCGTTCCCTTCTTTCACCATTGTGGGATTTGTGTTGACGAGGATGCTTGTCCAATCGCGATCCTCGTAAGTCTTTTGTATTATCACAGGTTTGCTGCTATCCGTTTTTAGTGTTTCATGCTTATTCCTCCTTGCAGAATGTAAGTTGTTCGTCTCGACTGACCATTATTATAATTATCACTTTCTAATAATTTCCCTCATTTTTTTCAGTTAAAGACTTAGCTCGTTTTGAGGCCAAGAAGGCCAATGGCGGTGATAAGTCTGCCTACCTCCACGCAGAAGCCCGACGACGATCCTGCGTCGGGAGTGAAAGAGGTGGAAGTCGAGACGACTGCTACTAGAAATCAAGGGTAGTGCTCCCTTCAGCTGCGAAACAGCAAAAGGCATCGGGATCGTATTCCCAAAAGAGGGCCAAAGACGAGGCCGACTTAATTCTGGTGCCTGACTCGCTCAAGCGCCAGAAAAGCAAGGATAAGGGGAAGTATGTCGCTCAATCTTTTTTTTCTCCCGCCGATGTCGACGTTGTCAAGAAGGTCACCCTAAAGAGGTCGTCTCGACATTGGAACCATCTAGAGCCGCATTTGGTTGTCAAATACCTCGAATCTATTCTCGCTCCAGCCAATAAGGCTCGTGCCGACTGCGATCCTTTTGACCGTGCCAACTGTTCTCTTCTCTGATTTTCTCGAGTAATTACTGTTGGTGTTATATACTTAAGCTTTGCTTTAGTGGATATTACACTTGTTA